GCCGGTTCATTGCGTTGTGATCCGCAGTGGTGCGTGTCTGCCAACCCGTGTACGCTCTAAACTCCTAAACCCTGACACCCTAAGCCATAAGTCCTCAATCCTCAACTCCCACGCCCTGCGCGTATCGACCCCAAAACCGCAGACCCTAAAGCCCTGCACCCCTAAGCCAATCATGGTAGCCCTAAGGGTCCAAGGACCCAAATAATAGGGTTTTAGGGCCCAAATACCATATATTATAGTATTTGGGTCCTAAAACCCTATTATTTGGGTCCTTGGACCCCTAAACCCTAAACCTTAAACTCCATGTATCCCCCTAGAACCCCTTTAAAGGAACCCTATTATTTGGGTCCTTGGACCCTTAGGGAAGGCTAATCTCACTTGCCGGTTTTTCCATTTGGGGAATGAAGCCATGCTCCCAGGCTTGGGATTGTTTAGGGGTTTAGGGGTTTAGGGTTTAGGGTTTAGGGGACGAAGGTGTAAAGCCTGAACCTTACGCATTCCCTCGCCCACCACAGTAGTAGCAGGATAAAGGAATACATGAAGTCTAGTCGAAACTCCCAGTATCCCGTTTCCCTGTAGAACCCTATAACCCCTTTAAGGAGCTCAGACTATAGCCCAAATGTCGGAACCCTGTTGAAATTCCGTTGCCGTTACCCCTTCTGGTCACTGTTCGTGGGAAGCGGGATTACGGAGCCTGCGCCCTATATCTACTGTTTTCAACCACGGGCTCCGAGTAAGCCGTTTAGGGTTTAGGGTTAGGGCCCAACTTTTTGTCTAGTATCTACAGACCAAAAACGGGGTTCCCGAAAAAATGGATGGTAAGGCCCTGAAGGTCCAGGTACCTAATATACTCACATACTTACTCAAAAGCCTGTACCACAATTACTATTACCAAAATCCCAAGTACATAATTCTTGGGTACTTGGACCCTAAACCCTAAACCCCACATATCCCTAGATGCCCCTATATATCCCCCTTAAAGGTACCTAATTATTGGGTACTTGGACCCTAAACCCTAAACCCCATTGGATACTTGGACCCTTATAGGGAAGACTTCGAGTCTTTAGAGTTGAGACTCTAAACCCCTAAACCCTGTTGTAGGGTCTGGGGCTTAAAGCTTAAGGGTTGGGATCCTCCGAGGACGTTGCTAGCCCAAAATTCGCTCCCCAACGCCAATCCCTAAACCCCTGAAGGTTTAACCCCAAGTGGCTCAGGTTTGGGGCTTAGGGTTTAGGGTTTGGGTTTAGGACCCAAATTTCTTAAGCCAAGTTCCCGCAGACCCCCATGGAATTTGAGCTTTCATGTTCGTTATCCATTGTCCTTTCCATTTGGATCGACTGGAGGTTACCCTTACTGGTAAACCTATTCCGTAACCTTATGCTGGATGCACACATACGTGTATTGTTATACATATATATATATATACAGGGAGAGTAAGTACACGTCAGCATTCACAACCCCCATGCCCCGGCGTTTTCCCCATGTGGAGGCTTGATTGTGTTTATGGAGGGTTGAGTGGAGGGTCGATAAGTGGCCTATAGAAGGTTTGCAGAGGGCTCATGGGTTTCGTAGAAGGTTTCATACACAGGGTTAATAGGGTTTTATGCAGCTTTATAGAGGGTTTACAAAGGGTTCATTTGCTTGTTAAGAAAAATATAAACGCTTGCACAACTTTTCTTCAGGGTTTGGTGTCTCGACGGCTGATATGCCATGAACCTTGCCAAGACCCACAAACCCCAAACCCTAAACCCTAAGCCGCAAACCCTAAACCCTTTAAAACAAACAAAAAAAAAAACAAACCCCTGAGCCAATGGCCGACTGGAATGCCCTGTACCACCGGAATCTCGCCGCGCTCCGCGTGGCTGAGCTCCGGCGCTGTAGGCCTTTCGAAGGAGGAAGGTTGGATGTTAGGGTTTTCAAGGTTTAGGGTTTAGGGTTGAGGGTGGTTTGGGGTGTTGGGGTGGTTTTGGGTTTAGGGCCTATGTTTAGGGTGGTTTTAAGGTCTAGGGATTAAGGCTCCAGTATACCTGCTTTGGGCCCTCAAGTCTACAAATAAAACTTACTTCGGGCTACTTGGATCCCGAAACAGTTAGATTCGAGGGGTTTGGGGGTCTTTGGGTGGGGATCGGTGAAAACCTGAGCCTTGAATCGTCGGAATTCGAGATGGTGTTCAGATATTTGGCAATTGGGCTAGAGATGGCTAGAGGCCTATAGGGACTGGGTTGAGGGTTTCAGTGCTCCTGCTTTCTGAGTGGGCTTTTTCTTTTCGTACTTTCAGGGGGAAGGGGAAGTCAAGGTGTTGAGTGCAGTACTTCAAGCACCCTAGTCTGCAGTCATGGGTAGGGCGTGCTCTATCCTCAAGCGCAAACTTCTCCAAGAGCTTCAGCACTCAAGGCCCTGAACCGGTTTAAGCCAGAAACACAAATCGTAAACCGTTAAGCACAAAATCTTAAACAATATCATCTGTGCTGATGCATAGGATTTGCGCAGTGACCTTTGCAATCTCTCCCTCCGAGATTAAACACCGCCGCACCATGTTTAAGTTCAGGGTCCAACCCTAAACCCTGCACCTTAAACCCTAAACCGCTATACCCTAAACCGATCGAATTTGAGAAGGCCACCGTTGCTTCCTTGCGCTTTCAGCCAACTCTTCCTGCCAGAATTCTGGCGCACGTACCGGTTGCAGCCCTGGAGGGAAGTGTCTGCACAAGCTATAAGTGCGGCAAGGCGGGCCACCGAATATCCCCAGTAGACGGCCGGCAGCAGCTAATTGCAGGAGGAAGAGCCACGTAGCAGGAGAAGTGAGATCCTCCTGTCTATCAACCTGGAACGCGTTGGTTGCACACTTTTGCTTGCGACTAATTTTTGAGGGGTCTAAGTTGCGACTTTGAAAGTTGCCGCTTTCCACATCAATCAGCAATTTTGGAAGACATAACATGGATATATTATATATAACTCATGAACATGTATTAATACATGCTTGTGTACCCATGTTGTAGAAGCATATCATGGAAACATGTGCATGCATGCATCATGCATGATCATGTATATATTGAATATATTCTTTAAATTAAATTGAAATTATGTATTGTTACCTTATAAGACGGAATGCTATATGCCAGCCCTCCCATAAGACATGCATGCATGGACCCATGGCACACATGCATGATTTTTTTCACGCGAACCGATTGGGCGCTGCTCTTCAGCGCTGCCGCGGCCTGCAATGAAGGCGGGCAGGGGAGAACAGTGTTGGGATAATTCTGTCAAGCACGCAGAAGCTAACCATATTTGCATCGTACTGCCCACGGACATGCATGGCTTAACATGCTGCATGTCATGGCGCAGCGCTTGTTGATCAAATGATTGATCCTAATAGATGTACCGCATTGCAGAGGGCTGTTATAGATTCCATCGCCACGCCATGGAGGCATCAGCTGCAATGTCATCTGATGCAGCTCCACCGGAGCCAACCCCACAGGCCCCAGGTACCACTCCGGCTCCGAAAGCACCGCCCATGGACCCACCACCTACAGAGTTCAAGGTCCCTATTCTGTCACCCGAGCAGCTGGATCCTCGACTATCGCAGCCCACTGGATATATGGTGTTCGTGCCGCATGTTCACATGGCTAGCGCGCTGCCATACAACCGCGGTGGACCCTGTGGACCTCCTTGCCTACCAGGCCTGCCCGCGCCAGTTGACACATGCACTATGTCAACGCAAACATGTGAGAGTGATCTCTATGCGCAGCTCAGTGAAGAGGAACTGAAGAAGCAGCGAGAGCGAGAGGAGGCAAAGGAGCATGAGAATTGGGTCAAGGGTTACAGGGCTGGCCACAAAGATGGTTACACGCTTTGGCAGTTTATGGCCACGCAAGCTGCAGGCGCTTGTGAGACAGTGCAAGGAAGCGCTACGGAGCCGAACCAGGAGCAGGCAGCAAGTGGATGGCCTCATGGCATGATGACAACACAAGATGGGCAAGTGATCAACCAGCCACCGCCCCCGAAGAGACCTCGCACATGGTCATGATGGATTTTGAGCATGCCTTGCCGCTCATGAGAAAAAACATGCTCATGTCAATTGTTTGCGCTGCGCTTGTTAGTTGGCACTTTGAGGCAGACCAGTGCACACACATGAATTCATGCATGTTCACATGACCTGATCCTGGCCTGTGGCAGGCAGATGGCGCCGCTGCTGCAGATGACACGGCGATGCCTTCAACAGGTGCCACCCCCCTCTGTGCATTTATCAGATTTACCATGTGCCATGCATGAGATGATAGCATGATGTTGGGTTCATGGGCGCAGGCATGTCATGTTAATGTTGTATACATGCAACTGCTAAGTTTGTTGTTTCATCGATACACGTTTTCATCTCATGCGGCAGCGATTTTGTCAGCACCTCGGGTAGCCTTTATAGTGGTAATAGATTGAGATGGGGAAGGGAGCGCTCGGCAAGGCATGGGCGAAATGCAGAAAAAGCAAAGGCCGGCAGAGCCGAGGGTCCCCATGGCTTAAGCTAGATGGGGACACGCAGACCATGGGTATGGACGACTTGAAGAACAACATTCCCTTTATTCATCGAGCTATTACCATCTCCCCTGAGATTTGCAACGCGCCTAAGAAGATTCAGAAGGAGGAACCCTGGCTCATGTGATAAATGTGCACATGTGAAGTTGTGCCCTGACAGTTGCAGTGTTCGCATATTTGCATTACTGAATCTTAAGGTTGAGAAGATGTATAATAAGATGAGCTGGGAAGTGGATAGCCAGCAGGCTTACAAGGACGCTTGGAATATCCGCCGCTTGGTTAGCTACGCCTATCGCCGGGCAAAGGACTGCCAGCGAAGAGGCCAATCTCCACGTGAATTCTAGCTCAATTGAGACAGGCATGCGTCCATGATTTCTAGCTTGTATTTGATTTTGTGTCACGTCATGGATGGTGCTCTTGACTGACATGTTAAGGATGACCGCGTAGCCTTCCTGTTTACCACCATCTACAACATGGAGCATGGGGTTGGGGAGCCCATTCCTCAGGATGATGATGATGCTTCGCAAGATCATGCGGAGGACATGGACCCAGCAACTCACGATGAAGGCGGAGCCATGGGCGAGCAAGGAGAGGAGGAAGCGGCTGAAGATGATGCAGTTTGCGAGGATCCTGGTAAGGAACCCCTAGACACCGAGGGTGGGTATGGCGAAGGAGGTGAAAAGGAAATTCAGGATCAGGATGAGATTATCCCGGAAAAGGGGGAGGAAGTAAAGAATGATCTTACAAATGGCGGTGGGGAGAACCTTGAGACCCCTAGTAAGTTCCGAAGGGTGCGCTCAAAGAGCTCCGTATTTGATCATGGCAATGATCGGCAGTTCGTTGATTCTGATGAGAAGCGGTACTGGCGATCAATACGCGGTCATGATGATGATGACAATGATTGCTTGCTGGTATCAGAGCCGGCTGCCTCATCAAGTCTGCGCAGCAAACGTGAGAAGCTTAAAAAATTGATGGCCGAAATCTCCGCCGCGAAGATGCCGCGCGCTGTCTGCATTATGCTTGGTGAACTTTTCAGCGTGTATAATTTTATGCGCAAGCTTAAGGTCGCCTGCTCGCGAAGGTCCGTGCTTAGTACATAATATATCGTTCATGTCATGCACATGTCTGCCACATGAGCTCCATGCCCGTACACATGTCATGCATGTATACATTTGCCTGCGAGACAAAAGCCGGCCTTTTCGCGAACTCCCCTCGAGCTCCACAGCGCCATATCTGACGACGGAGGCCTGGCGGACACACGCATGTGTTATGGACATGGCATATGCATGAAGCTTCTCGATCTATATTGTGAAATGAGGACACGCAAGTTGTTGACATAAATGCATGTCCTGTGGACCTGCCCCCGGAGCCAGAGTTCGAACGCGGTGAGCCCAAGACGCTCGCTGAGATCTATGGCAAAACAAAGACTCTTCAGGCAGCAAACAGTTACTAAGTCACTCAGGCATGCATTTACTACCATGGCATGTTATTGCATTTGTGCTGTCTGCGAGCTATAACTATGCAATGCCAACAGGCCACAATGATTACGGGCGATGACAAGAAGACTCCTCGGGAGACAACCCCGACCATGCAAAGGGCCTTGCGCAAGCAACAGCGCGAAGAGAGTGGCAGGGGCAGAGGCAAAGGGCGTGGCAGGGGCAGCAAGGCGAAGCGGGCCGAGCCGACGCCAAGCGCAAGCAGTTGCAGGGGAAGGGGTGGAGGAAGAGGGCGGGGTGCGAAGGCCCCCTCTAAGGTTCTGAAGCGGCCTGCAGGTAAGGTCACCAGGACAAAAGGGCCTCACAAGGGGCCAGGTTGCCCGAAGTGCCGTGGCTGCACCTATGGGTGCCGGAGATGCAATCCTGATTGGTGCCCGCGACGGGCCAGAAGGGGCGATTCGTCCAACTGATTCTTAAGTTTCACATGGCCATGCGTGCATACATGCAAGGCGGATGTGTCTATATGTAGGACACATGCAGTAATTTGACTGCTGGGGGCGGGGCTTGTGATGCCCTGGGCTAGATGGCCTTTCATAGTCCCACGCAAACAATTTCTCATCTATAGGAAGCACATTACAAATTGTCATGCAGGTATTATGGTGGGCGGAAAGGATTTGTGCTCGGGAGACCATGTTTGCAGCGCGCAGATCAAAACACATCTTCTAGGTTTCCATGCGTGATGTAACATGTGGTCACGCAGGCTCAGTGCGCAAATCTATCATTGCAACAGCTACCCACCATATATTGTTCACCACCCCCCTTCGTCAGGTGCTGGGCATGTTCTATGAGTGCGAAGTGGCTCATTCGTCAACAAGGAGTCAAGAGGAGAACTCCGGCCTCATCCAGTGCGCCTCCAGCTCCCAGGCAATCATGGGTCACCTTAGTCACGATTGCTTCATGTTGATGAGTTCTTCTGCGTGTCGATCCATATATGTTAAATGTCCGAACAAAAATGTATAATTGCAGCTGATTGGGTTCGATCATCGATCCTTCGGGATGGCGGTGCTGATTGGGGATGATGCTCTCCAGTCCTTACTGATGACTCTATGGAAGCTTGATGCCCCGGCAGTAGCTCATCTGCAGGTATGGATCATGGACATGGCATATAAAACTTAGAACGCACACAGATGATGTCTTATTATATTTCCTTTCTCTAATCCTACGCAGGTTCTCATGTACTTGGTGGTGCTTGCAGCATACACTGACCCGGGCAACCACCTGAAGGCTGGAGAATATGCGCATGAATAGTGTGCCATTTGGACAGGTGCTTCATGACTGATCATGATCTGAAGTCTTCACTGCAAACTTATATATCCCATGTCATGAACTTCCATTCTGCGCAGGCTGGCTACGACAGCATTGAGTGTTTTGCTGGACAAGCAAGACTCACCTGGGCGCTACAAGAATCAGGCTTCCGAGCCACGGCTGTAGATATTGGTCATTGGGAGAAATGGGCCAGTGAGAGACGCCAGCGGGCAATAACCCGTTGGACTTTCTGGGTTCAGGAGGGTTCGCGCTCTTTGGCTGGCATGCATGGTGGAGTTTTAATCAGATACCCTGTATTATGTAATATAGAATTCTATTATATATATTATATATATAATATATTGTACATATCATATAATATAATGTATCACGCGAGCTTCCTCTGCATTGCACATGGGCATATCCTTTAGTTTGGCATGATCTGAGGTTGCTTTTGATGTCAATCCTACGATCTCCTGACCGACTTCTGGTCGTTTTCGGCATTGTTTGTTCTACATGGATAGCATTGTCGAGGGCATCCACTAAAAGATCCTTTTGGAGGCCATTGGGCGATGTCATGCTGAAAGGCGTGGCGGCCTCGAATGTTATGGTCTCAAGGCGTTGGGGAGCTGCTGGGAAGTGGTTGATCAAGAGTACTAGCCCATGCAACACACATGTTTTCATGCATGACATGTATATACTCAAACTGCAGGATGATTCTCCTCGCCATGGTGATTCATGCTAAGTCTGGATGCATAACTATCGAACAGCCAAGCTCAAGTATAATTATGCATCACCCGCGGAGCCAATGGATGTTGAGAAGGATCACTATATGGAGGCAGAGATTCTGGATGCTATTCTACGGATCCAAAACGCCCAAGCGAACCTCGCTGTGGGCCAACAAACCTTCCATTGCAAAATTCGCAACAGGGGTGCTGACCAAGGCCAAACGCGAAGCGGCAGCAGCAGCTAGCGCAGGCTTTAGGCTGGTACGGCATCACGTGGACAAGCAGAACCGCAAGCGGTTCACAGGCAACAAGGATGAGCTTCGCGAGTCAGCGTCTTTTGCCTGAATAATTGGCATGTCTTCTATTTGTGCACATGCATGACCTCAACAACATGTCATAAAGCTAGTCCGCTGCCCAGGACTTATCCTACTGGATTTGGCATGCACTTTGCCAAGATCTTTCAAGCCCTCAAGAATGATGATGTCCAGAACCGCATGACCCGGAAGGCCTGGAATTAATAATTCTCAACCATGGTTTTGAAAGCATAACGCTGCCGAGGCTCCAGGCCCTTGCATCCTGCCCCACCACGTCCTCAATCGGCTGCCCAATGAAGATCCCTGGGCCGATGCACAGATCATGGATGTGCTGATATACTTGCAAAGCAGTGAGAGGCTACGCCTCCCTCCAGAGTGGGCGTTTGATATGCAAACGCTGGCTGGGCAGATGTAAATTACCTGCAACTTTACCCTGCGACTGTACATTAGCAGGTATGCTTGCGACTTTTGCGAAAATTGCAGGCGTAAAGTTGCGTAGAAAAGGCGTAAAGTGGCGTAGAAAAGGCGTAAAGTGGCGTAGTAGAAAAAACCCTGCAACTTTTAGCCTAATTTGCGGCCCGGCTGCGAGTCTGAGCGCCAGGCTGGCTGCAACTTCCAAAAATGTGCGCCAATGCCTGCGCAGAAGCCATGTTGCCAGGGGTGCATGCTCATGTCATGAAGCCATATACGCATGCATATGCTCAAGAACCATTTGAAATTTTCAGGGGATTGGCTAGCTGCAGGTAGATAGTGGCCATGGCATGCCATAGCGCAGCCACGCTCATGCATGGCATGTCTTTCATGTCTGAGATGGCAGAAGGACTAGTGCCCTGCAAGTTGGAGGAGAATGAGATAGATCAAAGGATTCAGGACATGGGATGAATGAATTCATACATGGGGTCTATAAAACCATAATACGGAAATTACGCATGCTTCATGCTAGCTTGTATATTATACGTGCGCTTGAGGAAGCAGAGAAGTATCTGGTCCAGCTGCGCCTCCTGCAATCCGAGCCTGACCAGGTCCAGGGCGAGGATTCCAGCAAGGATGCAGCAGCGTTGCAGCCTCAACCGGAGAATGCAAAGCCGAGCACTAATACCCGTGATCAACAAACAGAGGGGGATGATGCTGCTGGGGCGCAGCTTGCAGACATTGACCCCTATATGGATGCCCCGATAGCTGAAGAGGATGATGTCGAGACTTACTCGCAAGCCTCAGACTATGCTATGGCTTTGTGGGTCAAGGGATTGGGCGCTGATGCTGAGCGTTCTGGAGACATGACTCCCACTGAGCCTGAGAGCGAGGAGGAAGTCAGTAAAAGAGTTCAGGACATGAACTTGGTGGGTACCCCCCCTAAGGATGAAACGAAGGCCACTCACCTAGCATGTAATTTACGAGCACTCGTGCAGACATGCCTTTCATGTACATGCATGCATGCCATGTGAACCATGCTATCGTGTACAATCACATGACACCTGAGCAGGCCCCGCTGGACACCGATAATGCTGAAAGCCCGGAGAAGAACCCGACTCCTCGCCGGCTGACCTTCTCGCCGCAAGCGCCTGTGACTGAATTATTCCATGGAGCACCAAAGTATGCAAACAATATCCCATCCTGCAACTTAAGGTCTCAGAAATTAAGCCTTCCGATCCTCCTTCCACACCTGCAACAAATGGTGGCAAGTCTAGATCCAGAGATTCCCCAACGTCATCAAAAAAGAGTCCTCCTTCCTCGGGACGAGTCCGCTCCAAGTTGGGCAAGTTTGCATCTCAGGCAGGTACACGCGTGCGCATTTCAGCAGCACCGTTTATGTCATGCATATGAGAAGCGTTCATCTGCACACGCGTTGCGCAGTTGTCGAAAGAAAAGTTGGCGGCGCTTGATGCCTGCTTGCGACGTGTGTGCAAGCCGAAGAAGAATGGTCGGCTGGATGTCCCGAAGGACATTGCGGAGAAATGGAAGATGGGCGGTGCCCACAGGCGGTCCCTCATGAAGGTGCTCATTGAATGCAAAGGCAATCGTGCAGCGGGGCTTCATGTTACGAATGCATGCCATGCACATGCATTATACACATGCATGCGTGCGTGTTGATACGCGGGACTTCTAAGTTTCACACGCATGCGCAGATGAATGCAGCCCAGGAGCTCTTCCGGAAGAAGGTCTCCCACCAGTATTGCAAGTCCAGGAAGGGGACCCTGAAGCACACCGACAAGTTCTACACGGAGCACCAGCTGAGGACTGTGGTCAAGCTTGATCCGCGGCTCAGTCGCAGTTGATGGTGAGAGTGAAAGTTGCATGAAAATAGCATGCCCCAAATTAAACCCGCTCTTTTGAGTAGAAAACCCGCTAAGTTGCATAGTAAAGTTGCAGCCTTTTGACCTGAAGGAAGCGCCTTCGAGCTGTCCTTAAGTTTTGCAAAAGGCCCGAGAACAGGGCAACGCACATCAGGCAGCTGCAGCATAAACATGCATGCTTGTGCCATGGTATAATAGTATACCATCATATGCCATGCAGGAAGGACAAGTATGAGCCGAAGAACCCGGACAAGATCCAGTATGCCTATGAAGAGGAGGTGGTCGCAAGCAAGGAGAACGCGGAGGAAGAGCGGTATGTCGAGGATACCGATCTTGCCGATGGAGAGGTTTCCAGCCTACCCTTGGGCTTGCAAGA